ACAACCACAATCAACCTTCATTGTTCCCGGCCACCACCGGAAGGCGTTCATTTCAATCTGCCGAACCTTCTGCCAGATGCAAAGATCTCGACGGCTTTTATTCGTACTCCTCACCGAATGAGTCAATTATTGCTCAGCTTGCGTGAACTCGTTTCCCAAGGGTACTGGAGGGTAAGCAGGTATGGTGGATGTCACGGTAGCAAGATGGGGCAATTCGTGGACCTGGTAGAGTGCTTCAACTGACTTGGGACTCTGCTAGTGATAAGGGAGATATTGAAGAGATTAAAGATGTGGTTGGTGACGTCCGGCCTACGAGCTTTTAAGATAAATGAAAGGATACAGTCAGAGCCATGGAAATTAGAGCCCTAAGGCGGACGAGAGACGAACTTAATTCAGACAAAGTAACTGAGAGTGTGCAGAAGGTCAGGCTTGTCTCGTCAACAGATGTGGTCACTTCGTAACCAGATGGGGAGCAGTGAGTAGATAGGGTCGATGCGGAGTGAACATAGCAACTGGCGGAGAAAGAGTTTAGGGATTCTGCGATGTCAGCAGGTCAGACAGAGGCTTCCCGTTGGCGGTTACAAAATTTGAAACTGCAGATGAATTTGAAAAGCAACGCCGGTGAAAGAGGCACACCAGCATTTTACATTCAAGAAATGGTCTACAGCGGCAGATTCCTCGCGCTTTTCGAGAGGAAGTTTGGAAGTGGCAATCTTAGTCATAGGTTTGGTAATTACAACAAGGAGGGAGAGATCATGGGATTCAAGCAAGAGCCTTCGAGACTTACTGGATTTATGGCCTAGAGCGGATAATAGTCCGGCTGAATGGGAACCAGAAGCGTAGAAGCTTGTGAAGAAGTAACTAGATATAATGATGATGGTAGTTTGTCAAAAAAGCTGTTGGCCACGATTTGCGTGTCACGAGGGAGGAAGAACGCATCCCAGGTCTTATTGCGCAAAGAGTTTGAAAGCCTTCAAGAATGCCGGTAGAAACTATGAAAGAGCTTAAGAAGGAGGAGTGGAAGGAGGTTGGGTACTCGTCCAGCTGCAGGTGACAACACATTGGTCGCTATCAGAGTACTTCCGTAACTGCATAGATGGGACACGGACAGCCGCTGACAAGGCCAATGTCCAGGGTGTGGGCACCGCGTGTTGGCTGCCTTATAAGCCGGAACCAGCCATCAACACCAAGATGGGCAAGCAATGACGAGAGGCGCAATAGGAAGCGTTGTTGCGTCCAGGAGATCTCAGGAAGGTCGAGTTCATCAACGATTTATTAGCTTGGGTGAGGTTGAGCTACAGTGTGGGAAAGAAACTTGAACAGATAGTCAATCGAGCTAGTGGAGTGTGGGGGGTGCATGTAGAGGCCTCCGAGGATGAACGGCGGGTTAGTCTGAGAGGCAGAAAGCCAAACAGAGTCTGGAGTATCCGTCAGTAGTGGATCGTCAATAAGTGAGATTTCCATTTCAGTTCTGGAGTAAATAAGGCATCCACCTCCACGGTAATGTGAGCTTGTAGCAACCCAGTCATCAACAAACTTGACTGTTCAGCTCACAGTCGCTCAGTGGATCGCGAGGCTTGTCTTTTTTCTCATACTCACAAACACGTCACATTAAGCTGACTCATCGGACATCGATTGTCAGCACCGTCTAGTGAGCGTACCAACCACCCACGTGCTGACGCGCCCACGTATACGCAAACGGACCTACATATAGTGCAGCCGAACACAGTCAGCACAAACAGACTCGCGCGCGCGCAAGGAGTAAGGAGTCAGCCAAACACTCCCAGTCCACGGACAACTATGGAATACGTGTAGCAGCCAAACTGCAGAGGAAACACGTTCCTACCGTCCGCACTTTTACCAAGGGACTCTACCATATGATAAGTTCCCTTTTTTGACTCGCTCCCATTTCGCAATGTATTTATTTTTATACGTGTTGCAACCATACTAAAAACTTCTATTAGTGACATACACCTTCTGAAATGTATTATGGCTATCACCACCTGTGCACCAATAAACTATCGGAACGGAAGAACATGTATACCGGCAGACAGATAAGGGAATAAGGTGTGCTAGGAGAGAGCCACGTCTCAACGATGTATTTGAGGGTTGGACAAATATGGTGAGGGCATGGTAAGAGCGCGTGATTTTAGTGCGTTGAAAATTTTCCCATTTCTTTGATAAGCCGAACAAATCTTCTCAAACTTCTATCCATGCATCATACAGAACCTGGCTGCAGCAAACTCGCCTTTTCGCGCTCAGAACTCAAGGAGCCACACCGCATTATTTTTCGCTTCTGCCAAAGCCACCGACGAACAAATCCAACTCGGGAAACTTGGACAAAAGCTCCGGTGTGTGCTTCAATCCGTGAATTTTTGGATGCACCCTGATTCCATAAACCAGCATTGACCAAACCCTACAGTTCCAAGCCTACCCACATACCTTCTGGCACAGCACAACTACTGAAACTTCGTTCTGTTCCTCACACTTTATTCCCCATCTCACGCCCAAGCGTACCAAGTGGCGTGCAGAATATTTGGTCGAAATCCCATAATACACATCTATATTACACTTGACCGCCCTCTACTCAACCAACGAAGCTACTAGAGGATGCTATATGAACTGATAACTAACAGAACTGCACCTATGGCCTAAGTCTGCCAGACTTGGGCTTCCCACCCCCCAAAGGCGTGTTAATGCTTATACAAACCCATTTTTAACTTATCACTTCCAAGTGAACTGAAGCCTAGCACGAAAAGTGCAAATCAGACCAAAAGACCTGGAAAAATACCCTCTTTCGTTGTATCATTCCGTAATTTCTTAATCCTGCGTACCCATTGGTGAACAGGCAAAGAGACTGCCCAGTCGTGTGGACTAAGGCGCATACTTTGAAACTTTGAAGGTCGGTGGTCAGCTCCTCATACAGATGACGAAGGAAGTGTATATTAAAAGCAAGGATGGTACGGATAAACAAGGGAAACAAACGGATAAAGTTGAACTGGGGATGCTTGAGGAAGACGATGAGTTTGAGGAGTTCGTTGCACACCGTAAGTATGGCTTAATTAAACTCCTCGAGTATTCCCATGTTAGCAATGAGTGGCGATCCGAAAAAAGCAGAAGAAATTACTGTTTGGGAAGACAACTGGGATGATGATATTGTGGATGACGAGTTCACCCATCAACTTAGGTATCGTGAACATATCAATCAAAACTAAGACTCAAATTTCCAGGGCGGAGTTCCAGAAACAAGGAAAGGCATTCGTCGTTCCTGAAATCTTCCCTGGAGCTGATTAACGTGTTCGTTTCGAAGAAATATAACAAATAACAGCACTTTGTTATCTTTTCGGTCCGACATGATGATGTGGTGTGTCTGGATAGAGCATTTTGAGTTTTCCGAATATATAGATGTTAATGCGTATTAGAACGCCTGTGCTCCCGGGACTCAGTGGATCTGAAACCTCTTTGTGTTTGAGAAGATAGAGGGTTTGCATGATAGATGCGACTCATTCAGCAGAACGGTTCATGTTTAGCCGTCGAATTAGTTTATGTTCAGTCGCGTCTCTCGACTTCCTTTATCTAGACTTGGCAACCTCACAGTATCATAGCACTCGTGCTTCCTTCTGGTGGCATAGCAGCTAGGCACCGGAAGGGTGCTACAGCTGAACGATTAATTTAATGTTCAGTTACGTGGCGAACTACTAGTTGTCCATATTTCAGTATTGGTTGAACCTATTCACACTTCACTTAAACCTTTATTTTTATAGCATAATAGATCCTCTAATTGGGTCATGGCCTGGTGCCGCAAACGACGTGAGATCGTGTGTGACAAATCGCTCAGGCGAATAGACTCGAAATATATGTTCGCCGGGCCGGCATATAGCCATCCGGAGGTGGTGCCGAGGGAAAACATTTATGGCGGAGGCGGTTGGTGACTACGTGGCCTATGTTTAAATCAGGAATCGCCGCTTTTGGTTGCCATGCTTATTAAAACAAACAGACGCTTAAAGTATCCTGTGCAGGAGAATGAAAATAATTTTTCGGCTGACATCAGTTTCGTCCGAGAATTCACGCAACTTTCGTTTAGTGTCGCCGGGCCCGTGCTTACGTGGAAACCGAGTATTAGTGTTCCTTGATGGCCCGCTCTTGTCAGCTATGACGTGTTGATGCATGTTGGCATAATTAGCAAGTGAAGGCCCAGTCTTCGGTTTCTTAGTTGGGAAAGTTTGGGGATACCCATGTTTACATCCGTCTACTTCACTTTTCAACAAAGTCCGAATGGAGTCGTAGCAGTCGCTTTAAAACGACATTTGAAGGAGTGTAATCGCTGTAGAAAATAGGAGCGCGGACGCCATTTCACTTTGCTGTCTCTTGTTTACACGAGGTTCACTATTACCATTGAATTATGGAATCTGAAGGCAAGTTTCTAGAACAGTCGTTGGAGACGTCGGTCCCGGTGTCAACTCAGTGTTGCTTTAAAATAGGAACTCTGTTATGCAGCAGGTTAAACAGACGCTTGAAGGCATTAAACGATGAGTGCTTGTAAAGCTTTTGATCAGTTTAATGGCAAATTCCGGCATGTTATTGAACAGGCTTTTGATGATACCGCACTGAGGTTGTGGGGAATTTTACATACTTCGGTAGTTTTATTGGCCCCGATGGCAGTATCTGACGAAGTCAGTCTACGAATCTCAAATACCCGAATCACATTTACTAATTTACGTCGCCTGTGGTTTCAAAAGTCATATCACTGGGTCTTAGGGGTTGCGTGTACCAGGCTAGAGTAAGGGCCACATTGTTAAGTAGCTGCGAGACATGGCACAAAGGGGCCTTATGCGACCACCGATATATCAGAAGTGCTGTTGGTGTCAGATGGCCTCAACGAATGTGTAACAATGCAATTGGAACACCGGTATTTGGTTATGCAGCAGGTACCCCGTTTGCAGAATACACCCAAGAACATCAGCCGCGGTGGCTCGGCTATACACTACTCACACCGAAACATTATCTACCGAGATGACTGTTGTTCTCAGTGCCCCCTTCAGAATGGAGCAAACTGCGAGTCGGATAATGTATGGCCTGTCAGAAGAGGGAGATTCTGAAGAGTTCAGGTGTTGTTATGGCTGTCCGCCTCGCACAATAGGGTTCCTATGACCCCCCTGCACTTGGCTGGAGGCATAGCGGGAAATTGCGGCTGATCGAAGTCAATGGCGTTCCAGTTTCTCTCCAGACTGTCTGTTTGAGCGCTTTGAAGCGTGGTTACCTCAGAATGCTTGCGAAGGCTTTAAATACAGTGAACCAATGTGTTTGTGGTTATACGGTGGCAAAGCATCAGTCCTCACATTGATGTTGCTGTCTTTGATGATGATGATGCGCTCAATCCCTACCATCTATGCCTCTGGGACATAGATCATCAGAATTCTGAAGATGCCCGAGATTATCCGACCGCGTAGACCATGTCTCAAACTTACAACGACGCACCGCGGTCCACTACACCTAACTCACGTGACGCAGTGATATATGTTTTTGGTGGCGCAAGGAGGTTTGAGCGTTTACCTTGTCCGTCATGTTATTCTCACAGTGTGTAGCTTTCCCGCTATACACAAAGTGCTCCGCTACTCTCGTAAATCTTGAATTGCAAGGAAAGTGTTCACCGACTGCTTGCTGTGGAACATAACCATTCACTCTGTGAGCGCAAAGCACTTGGAAATGATGGGACCACACTGATTGATCATTCTAATAGCGCATGGATTCCTTATTCTTTTTTGAAACCGTAAATATTGTCGTCGATGAATGCCAAATCAACAGTGATTCGACAAACATTAATTTTAGTAGCGTTTGCGAATACCTTCCCAGGTCTTCTGTCATCAGTAACACAGTGGGATGGGAATGGTAGAGTTCGACATCCTCACTGTGGGGTGTGTTGCACGTCTGTGAGAATCAACCACCTCATGAAGAGAATTTGTGACATTTTCTGTGACCACAAATCTATCAGAACCATAACTGGAGTCAGCCAGTTTGCGAAACGGGTCTTTGACGAAAGCAAAGGCACTGCAGACAAGGACTTCGTCCAGCACTGTAAGCTAAGGTCAGCGGGCTCGTTCAGCTGTGACACCTTCGGTGCCTAACTGCCATTCTATCCAAAGGAAGCACGAGGGCTGGGATACTGCCGGGTCGCCCAAGCCTAGACAGGGGAAGTCGAGAGGGAGAGGTTGGGTTCGGACCACGGACGCTGCGGTCAGTAAATTCGCGCTCCAACCACTTGAGCCATTTCTCCGGGCCGTAAGCTATGAATGCCCGATGCACCGAATATGACAGAACAGAAGGAAACGAGTTACGATGCTGTAGGTGTCGTCCGCCTTCCAGGATGGGGTCCACGTGCCCTGTACTTGGTTGAAGACACTGGGAGCTTTTGTGATCAAACTTCGTTTATGTTGTCAGTTTCTATCCAGATTGACTAGGTGCTGGGGATGTAGACACTTGAATGTTTGTGGTAGGCCTCCCTGTTTGTCCAGTTTTTCTTCATCCCGCTATGAGACTTCATTCAAACAAAACCACATGTCTGTACAGCAGTGAAGCACTTGGGTTCTCCTCTGGTGTTGCTGTCAATGATGGCGCTGATGATGTGCAGGTCCGAAACTATGGCATATGAAACCAATGTACCTTTGGTACATGGTCTGCATCCGATGAGCTGAATGGAAATAAACTCCAGCTCTATTCCAAATTCTCCTACTTGTCCTCTTGGTTGATCATTTGCGAAGAAGTTGCACCCTTTGCCTCCAGAAAGACCCCACTTCCTTATTTCGTCCCCTCATTTTTCATTGAACCTTACGCTCGCTCCACAATGGGCTACTGTTGTGCTTTTCGCGGTGGACCTCCTTCCACCAAATTCGGCGGAGAGTTGTGTATCGCACTGTTCCCCCACAACCTGATCGGTAACCCTTTCCCTTTCTCACCATCTGAACGTACTCTTTTACTTCTTCACTACTACATCGACTAGTGTTCTTCTGGGGTCCTATCTTCTGATCCACCTTTCAACTCACTTCCAGTCGCCCTTACCAGGTGGAAATCCACCGTTGCTGCACAACTCTATATCTCTTCGTATATCTCAAGGATGGCACGACCATGGGATACTACTTATTCTCTGTTCCTCCTCTTTAACTATTCATAGTGAATCAACGCTTACCATTACAACCCTTCCTGAATACGTTATACGTGTGGTTGCTCGTCTTTCATATATCGAATGTTTCCATAGCTTTTTTCCTCCTCTTCTAATCCTTAATGTGAGAAAGGACTGGGCATCCGTCTCCTGGAACTACTGTTGGTGGTCATACAATCAGTCATTCAGCTCACAGACCGAGCATCGAAGTGCATTGATTCCAACTGTTACAGCTTCGTCCACTTAGCAGGAGGAAGTAAGGGCCATGCCATGGAGGCGATGGCCCAATCTGTGAATTGGTGACGAATGAATCTGTTTGTCCAGTACGACCAGAATTGAGTAGTACGCAGTGAAGGTCATGGCTTAGATGCGGGACTGCCCCTGGCTGCCTGACAGTTATCTGTCAGGGTCAATAACCTTCCCACTGTACCAATCCGGGCAGGTGGAAGTTACTAAAGCGACTCAGTTGACTGACGAAGAATTTTTCACTTTGCTGCCAAGTCATCGACTGACTATCCCTCGCTAGTCTCCATCCGAAACAGGGGCGAAAAATACCCTAGAAGACAAAAGTTCCTCTGGTGTGCGAAGTGCATGGCGTAACCTGAACTATCGAGGGATAGTTAACCTTCCCGAAAACCATCTGAAGTACCTCAACATTACTGATCTGATGTTTCTACCAGACCACACAATGCTTGATGGACACCTGTGGTCAAACACAGGAGCCTCACAAGGTTGTACATGGTATTACGGCATTGAAGCATCAGTGTGGAACACTGATGTCATGCTGTCGATGATGATGATGGTGATGTCTTCCACGCACAGCAGCCAGGTCTCCGATCCATAAAATAGGACAGGTCGCTGCACAAAGCATTGCACACTACCCTTCATAGTCAGGCTGTCACGTCGGAACTACAAATGTCGGAGGATGGTGAACGTTGCCCTGGCCTTTCCAATTGTGGAGGTGCTTTTGTTTTTCACCAGACCATGGGTACTTCCGCAGCTGTCTAAATGAGCGATCTCATCTACTACATCGACTGGTTCACCTGAAATCATGAGTTTCGAGTTTGATCCCATCAGACCTTGCAGTAGCATTTTGCACTTTACAGGTAGGAGGTGCATATCGAACATATCGCACAAT